AGAGAGAGAAAGAGAGGTAGTTTTTTTAAGCAACCACAATTCCATGGACTTTCCGACACAAGATAAGCTTTGAACATTTTCTTTTGAAGTGTAATGATATTGAAAAGACCATATAAAAAGGGGATTAGTTCCTGACCTTTGCAATAACCAAACGTTATAAGATTATACATATAAACATATATTATACACATTAAAGCAGCCACACGTATCGTCATAGGACTTAGCTTTACGCACAGAAGCCACTTGACCACCAGTATTCTAGAGTTTAACAAAACCTCTGCTATCATTAATCTAACGCCAGAAAGCACATTGTATTGCCTAAATGTCATAAATCATTAGAATTAAGAAAAGCTTCTTGAAAATCAAAAAAGTAAAATGTTTCTCTAGAATCTACACACACAAGTTAACCTGGACAATTTATATACATTTTAGACTAGCGTTGTGTACTGGACAATTTGTATACATTTTAAGACTAGCGTTGTGTACTGGACAATTTGTATACATTTTAAGACTAGCGTTGTGTACTGGACAATTTGTATACATTTAAGACTAGCGTTGTGTACTGGACAGTTTGTTTAGATTAAACTATAGCGTTATGTACTGGACAGTTTGTATACATTACACTATAGCTTTATATACTGGACAGTTTGTATACATTAAACTATAGCGTTATGTGAATCGGTTTTAAAGTCACTGCTCGGTCATGTTCTTGCTATTTTAGATCAGTTCCTGCGCAACTGATTAGTGTGTTTTAAGTAGCAGAACTTTGGTTCTATTTGTACTGTTACCCTAAAGATTTTTTTTTTACCCCTTTAGCACCATTATCTCCTAATTATGAAGAATTTGTCAGTATTCAACAAACGCAGGCTATTCTGCACTTATCCAAATGGCAAAATGGCGGCTGTCCAATCTTATCCTTTACCGTCCGACTTAGAGAAAAGTTCCACACCAGGTGGCGGACAGTAGCAGATAAAATTCCAGCGAACAAACCCAATTTTGTTATTTCGCACATACTTCCATCAACATGGTATAAAGTCCTAGTGATAGCACGAAGCTCTGCAGGGGCGACAGAGGCTACATACGACTTTAAAACCCACAATTTAACACGAGGTAAATATAGGCATTCACTAAAATGTATAGTTACTTCGAGTTGAGAAAAATGTGTTGTTTGTACCCAAAAATTTGAAAACAGGGGTGGAGATGTTTGAAATTTGTATTAATAACAAAATCAGTTGAGAAAATAATTGTCTAATATCATAAATATAGTAATGTCAACAGCATGTATTCATTAAACTGATAAACGTTTGAGAGTACGAGTTAGATTGCTGAAATCTACTTCACGGTTTCACATCGATTCGACGTAGCAATCCTAACTTGTTATTTTAGTAACCCTCGAAATAAAATGTTTAAAAATTGATTAAAAGCGTAATTAAATGCCAATACCACCAATATACTGTAATAAATGAAATGCGTGAAAAATAAATCATAAAAACAAAATGTATAAAGGAATTGTATTATAACGTACACCTTGGCTGCAACTTTATCGAACTCAGACTGACTATATATTTTAACGAAGCTCGTGTTTTACCAATAGTATGTATTTAGAGCAAGGTTTTGTAGAGTAACTATTATTGGCTCTCTCATGAGTTTTTTTTTTTTTTTTTTTCAGAACGAACCAATGCGTGGTTGGTTTTATAAGGAATTCAACAGTTTAACATTAAAATACGATCAACATTTCAATTATAATGTTTGACTATACAAGTTTAGTAGAGGAATATAATTCGAATTTTTTGATATGGATGATGAATAAATTTCGAGATGTGATGAATTTTTCATTAACGTTCTGAAACTGGCGAAAACTCGAATTTCACGTAGTGTATCTATTTGAATGGAAAATTCCTTAATCGCTTATCTAATTAACACAAATTTAATTAAGACTATATAATGCATAATAAAGTAGCAACAAAATTAAAATGTAACGCCAGGCTGAGTGTTTAAGCTTCCGTTATCTCTCAAACTATTGACTTGTTTTCCGTAGTTTACTAGCGGTACGGTAAATGTACTGAATCGTATTGAGTAGTCTTATATTTTGGCTGTTACAACTCCAAGCGCAAGGAAATGATAAAAACTATTGGGTGAAATCACGTATTTTTTATGTAAAATACATGGGTGACCGCAGAAGTGGTTATTGGGGATTAATTACACTGTTATATCTTGTTATAAACTCTATAATCAACAAAGTTACGAATCCACAAGTAATTTGGTGCATAAATCATTTAGGAAAATGTCTTTAAAATGCCAATGTACCCCATCGGTAATTCTAGGGTTAAAATAATGTAGAATGTGAAGCGAAAATAACCTTTGAATCGACTTTTTCATACAAACTAGACCAACTTTAGAAAGTTATCGGTTTAAGTATGTTCTTATAATTGCATTTTGTTTCGAGTTTTGTAATGTAGGGTTATCTCTATAACGCTTGCCTTGTGATTTTCGTAGATGTGATCATTCACGAGGAAGCGACAGTCACTAGGTCACCATCGTCAACATCTTTGATTACAGACTTGGAGATCTTAATACCTGTAATTGTGTCGAGTTTCGTCGTCCTTGTCGTTCTTGTTGTCGGCTGTGTCTTATGTTTCAGAGAACAAAACACACGGAATAGAACTGGAGGTACTTCATTCGAACCTTGATTTTTTTTCACATGTGTATTTGATATATTTTGTTCAAACTGTTTGTTTTTATCTTATATATAAAATGAATTTGGGGTACATAAATCACGTTCTTTCTCTAAGTCAGGACACTGAGCGTAATGTAACGGACAGTGTAATACAGAAATATATTTCCTATAATTTAAAATGAATTAAAGCTTAATTTGGAATGTTAATTTTTAACAAGAATACTAAAAAAGGCACATTGCAACTTCAGTATTTGTAATATTTTGAATAATAATCAAAGACAACATACTAAAGATACAAATATGGTAATAATGATTGAAAGTCAGTTATTGCGTTTCTTCATACAACCTGTATTGTGAAATGAAATACATCATTTTATTTTTCTGTTACCTTTTACTAGCAGAAATACTCGCCTCTGGGCAGGTATAACTGCTACTTCCTGCGGAAGGCTATTGGGCTTGCGGCCATTTCTGGAATTGTCTGACAGTTCTACAACAATATATTCATACTTGACATTTAATAATGTTCACCATCCATGAGACAAAGGATTCTTTTGAAATGTTAGTTTCAAAATGAGCTATCATCACAGCATTACATTACAGAGTAGATTTCATTGAAATATTTCTTTGTAGACTCGGTTATCAATGAAAGTGCCTTGGCAACATTCATTAGATTTTCACTAAAATACTGCCTAGTTATGATTGGTGGTGATCGATATGGTAATTTCCGAGATCCAAGTTTTGGACGTATACGTCGCAAGCTCCATTATAATAAAGTCCACCGCTGGGACAGCGGTAAGTCTCCGGATTTACAACGCTAAAATCAAGGGTACGATTTCCCTCGGTGGACACAACAGATAGTCCTATGTGACTTTGCTATAAGAAAATCACAAAACACCTATTATAATAAGATAGTCGTGCGTTTTTTGAGAATGCAGCGTCAATTTCCTTTGGGCCCGAGTTGATCATGTGGTAGAACTCTGGATTTTGTAGCTATCGAACCAGGTTCGAATCCATGCGATATCGCAAAATATTCTTTGTGTGTTATGCTGTGGATGCGTTAAACAGTGACAATTAATCCCTTAGTATGAGTGGGTGATAGGGTGCTGCTGACTGTCTTTCCTCCTTTACTATAAATAGTTTCTCACAAATACAGTTTCGTTTATTGTGTTAGGTATAATTTCAGCAAAATGTCACTAAACAGTCGTAAGTAAATAACAATTTAGGAAGTCCTAAGAAACTGTACTTGTAACAAAAGAAATTAACGTGTTTTGCTATTCAATAAATAAGGTTGTTTTGCATTATGGTGATCTAAAAATAAAAATACAAAATTAAGCTTCTCAAATGCTGTCTGTTTATGGTGGAAGTGCAGAGTTCTCCCACAATAGTTAGTATTTTCTTAGTAGAATGTTACCATGATGTTGTTAGGATACGTACGAAGCACGAGAAAGTTCAAATGCTGTTACAAAAGCTCTAAAGTATAAAATCGTATGAGGCGTGTTTTATATGATTTATAAAATAGCCGATATCTCAGTGTATTCCGAATATTTGAGAAGATCGATATATACATAGTCTTTGCTGCCACCTAGTGTACACAATAACAACTATGTTAACAAATGTAGTATTCTAATGCAATAGAGATATTTTTGCTGGTAAAGTTCAATGTAATATATTTATGGTAATATTCAAGATAACGTCCATTATCTTGACGATTAAAATATGTATTACGTTCCGATTTATTTGAAATATTAATTGATACTTTGTACAACGCTAGTCTAAAATGTATACAAATTGTCCAGTGTACAACGCTAGTCTAAAATGTATACAAATTGTCCAAGAAATAATACTGGCTGAATGTATACATGTTGTCCAAGAAATAATACTAGCTTAATGCATACATGTTGTCCAAGAAATAATACTTACTTAATGTATACATGTTGTCCAAGAAATAATACTAGCTTAATGCATACATGTTGTCCAAGAAATAATACTTACTTAATGTATACATGTTGTCCAAGAAATAATACTAGCTTAATGC